GAAGAAAATTATCATATTATTATGGCACAGTAATATAACGAACCTTAAAGCGACCGCTTGCAAAACTTTTTCTTTCGAACTAATTTCGAGAAAAAATTACGGAGCCTTCGTAAGTAATGGACTCATTATATTTAAAGAAAAAAAAAACTCACTTTTTCCTGCGGCCCGCGTTCGAGTTGTTCCCGACGGGGAAGTCGAAGGACTCTCCAAAAATCCGATATTGCAAATCGTCATCATCATTACTTTGATATTGCATTGCTTATACACTACGAAGACACGCAAACGTACGACAATAAATCACTTTTAACATCATCACATTAAATAGGGATCACGTAAATATTTTATTCCGACATGATATTTGAAATGATAAAAAAAACCGGGAAATAATAATATTGAAAAAAGTTTTTAGGCGATCGGACCCGCGTGGAATCACGGCCGTGGCGCACGCGGAGCCGGACTGACTGAATGAACGAAATGAACATGGTGCACGCTTTGCCGAAGGGGCCGGCTGTTCGGGGTTGCAAAGTAATAATATTAAGATTACTAGGAATTTGCATAATTGTACTGGATTTATTTATTTATTTAATTGATTTTTACATTTAGGTTCTTTGTCGTTACAAAATAGTAAAGTTTTATTTATTTTTATGGTTTACGTGAACGTAGATGTCCAACAGCTCTCGAAACAAAAAAACTTTATAATTCATGCTCAGCATGCCTGTAATTAATAAGTGACGTGATGACATACCATTAGGGGGTTGTCTTCTGACCTGTTAGTTAATTGAAAAAAAAAAGACCGAAGTCAGTATTTTAATAGATATGGATGCTTAGGCGATAGCGCAGGAGTCGTTTAAGGATAGGGTCCTAAATACCATCCTTATGTCCGCGGTCCAGTTCCAATATCGTCGGACCCTTTAGTTCCACATACCTTGTAGGAGTTTCGGCCTCTGACCCGGGATAAATTAAATATTTTAATTGAACGGTAGCACTTTTACTGTCTCAAATGTGATATGATGCATACCACGCGCTTTGTAAATCTTGATTAAACCTATTATACAATTTCAACATGCGTGTAAGAAAAAGCCACGAAAAGAAGGTTAACTTATAAGTCTAAATAACAACCCATATGCCTAGTAATAAACGATAGGAATTAATATATATACAATGTTAGTAATATAACTTAAATTAGAAAAAACAACTAAAGATTTTTCGATCCCGGTGTTCTTTTAAAATGTATTTTTTTTAAATTCTGTAATTCCCAACCGGATTCTTGAGCTTGCAACACCGAACATACCCAGAATGCGAGTTCCGCGCTAACAAAATAACCCTGGAATTCTGTATCTGTACTTAATGTATCAATAAAATTGTAATAAAGTTCTTTTTTTTTTAATTTAGATTAAAATTTAGACGATCGAGTAAACCACAATTCTATTATTAATTTAACATTTATTTATATAGTTCTTTAAAATAATTCGTGTAAGTAGTTTGTAAGCAAAAAAACCTTCCAAGTGGTTGTGGTAAAACAACCTAAAATAAAATTGTAAACATCTAAATTCTGTGTTCCGTGTAAGCATTTCAACAATGTGACCAATCAACTATGTATGATAACATTTTAATATAGTATTTTCTTTAGTATTCACGTGACGTGGACATAATTAAAACCATAGATAATACACATAAACTAGTTAATGATAATAGATTAAAATTATTCGGTCTTTGAACGGAAACTGTAAAGTAGGTACTTGTAATTTAGGAAATACTATAATGACAATAAAAACTCATTAATTCGCAGCCCATACCTTTTTTTTTATTGCCTTAGTAGACAGACGAGCGTACGGACCATCTGACGGTGAGTGGTTACCGTCGCCCATGGACTTCAGCAATGCCAGGAGCAGAGCCAAGCCGCTGCTTGCCGAATGATAACATCGTAATATTTTCAAACAGCTGAGAGAGTCACTCTAATCATATGACGTCATATTTCGTAATCAAATGCCACGCGGTTTCGTTCGCTTAAAAAGATTTAATTCAAACAGAATTAAACACGTTATTTCCCAATAAACTGCCTATCGATATGTAATCCTGTTAATACGTAAAATCATACTCAATCCTGCTGACCGAATGGTAAACAGTCGAAGTCGCCCTAAACACGTCATTACGGATCCTCCCGATCCATTAACGGTGCTTTTAGATATCACAAGCACCGGTGGCCGTCCTCGCCAAGCCCGTCGCTTGCGACGAAAGGCTCGACGAGTAAATTAACACAGAGAGCCCACTGAGGCTCTTTCCGAATCTTCTCAGTGGGTCGCGTTTCCGATTCGATGGTAGATTCTGCAAAGCACTGCTCTTGCTTGGGCCAATGTTAGCAACACTCCCGGTTAGAGCCCCGTGAGCTCACCTACATGGCAAGGAGAAGCTGAAATAGCCTATCAAGGCTATCAGCATAGGTAGGAAAAAAAGCCCGCATGGATAGGTATCACCCTGGCTCTTTCTGTCTTAACGGGAAAGCTGTTGTACTATAAAACTGATACTCAGAACTCATCTCTACGAGGTGCGTAAATATTTCCACATAAGTCGGTTTAACGACAAAAACGTTGCCCCGGTGACGGACCTCGAATCAAAGTCCTACAAGCGTTTTTCGTGAGAAAATTACAACTGACAATGGATTCTATAAGCCAATATATTGATTTGAAAAGCGCCTGCTGACTATGTGACAGGAAAGGATCCGGAGTTTCTTTGGGCACATAATGCGATTCCCATTGCACAGCCTGGAGAAACTCATCATTCTCGGACAAATGGAGGGGAAGCGCGCTAGAGGAAGAGCGCCAACTAGATGGGTGGACCTACTCAACGAAGTGTCTGGAGGCCAGATACAGGGAGCGGTACATATGGCGCAAAACCGGACCGAGTGGAGAAGATTGACGTACAGTCACGATCCTTAGCATTGAGGGAACGTCCAGAAGAGAATATTGATTTAATCGAGTAGTACTTTTTTTTATTGCTTAGATGGGTGGACGAGCTCACAGCCCACCTGGTGTCAAGTGGTTACTGGAGCCCATAGACATCTACAACGTAAATGCGCCACCCACCTTGAGATAAAAGTTCTAAGGTCTTAGTATAGTTACAACGGCTGCCCCACTCTTCAAGCCGAAACGCTTTACTGCTTCACGGCAGAAATAGGCGGGGTGGTGGTACCTACCCGTGCAGACTCATAAAAGGTCCTACCACCAGTGATAACGTTAGAATGTGCAACCCTTTAATTGAGAACGTACATTTCGTTCACGACATGAACACCAGAAACCGACAACCTGCCTACATCAACACCAGATTTGCAGCGAATTAGTCTACCTCTCGGCACTAATAAACACAAAAACACATCAATCAAAAATCACGACTCATCTTCTACAATCTTAAACAAAACTGACTGTTAGTATAATATGTATGTTTACATTGTTTACTCTCTATATGCGTCTCTAAGCCGTATCTAATGGTATTTCCGGGAGGATTATTGTCATACTACCGTCAAAACAAGATCTCGGGCGTGTAATTTGAAACCATGTTAAACGTATTATTACTAAAGTAAGTAAACGTTCCATTGTCTAAACTGAAATCTTCTCCAGTGTGTTCTTCTTAATCGTTTCCTCACTGCTGAAAATCGTGACCACGTGTGACTTTGCTCCATGGTGTTCGGTCGTTAGTGTAATGGAACACATGGCATAAGCTACCTCCAAGCCGCTTTCTTTGGTGTAGTATGCGAGAAACACACACAAGATTAGCAATAGTAGGTATATGATACCTATGGTAGGTATAGTAGGTATATGATACCATAGGTATCATATACCTACTATTGCTAATCTTGTGTGTCTAACCATAGGCACAGGGCCCTGAAGCAGCTATACTTTAAGACAAATATTTTTTTGTATGGAAACTAGCGACATCTTGTAGCGGATGCCCCTAAACTTATATGTTGTTAAAGTTAAGGCATTTAATTATTGTATAACTAAATACGGAAAATAAAAAAAATAAAAAATCATACTAGCTTAATAGTGGTTTCCGAAAATTTACAAAATCCTTCATTAAAAAAAATATATAGGATAGTTAATATGTTACTGCCATCTACTGGAGCAATGAGAAACTAATCGAAGCAAAGCCATCTAGTGACCGACGCCCGTAAACACTTTTGTTGAGTGCTTGAGTTGCTTATCTGTAACTATTTTATGTGTATTATATCTATGACTAGCTGACCCGGCAAATTTCGTAGTGCCTCAATCGATAAATAAAAGACCTAAACTTTTGTATGAAATAAACTTGAAAAAACAAAAAGGAATCCGTCCGACAGGGGACACATCAAAGGAAAAACAAAATTGTTTGTTTTTATATAATTCCGAGAATTTTCATATTTAATCACCTTTTAAACCTTCTCTGGACTTCACGAATAATTTAGACTATTTTAGACCAAAATTAGCCAAATCGGTCCAGCCGTTCTCGAGGTTTAGCGAGACTAACGAACAGCAATTCATTTTTATATATATTTACTATCTACTATCTATGATCTATGATACCACACACAGGACGAAATACGAACTATCTATTACAAGAATGCTCCAATACAGAATGAAATTCAGACGCTGTGGTACACAAGTCAGGGTAACTTCATCAAAGACAGAAAAATTGTAAATCACGTTTTATTTTTGCTAGCCTTCCCTATGTTTTATAAATATACTAGCGACCCGCCCTCGCTTCGCTTCGGAAACTGTAATTTATTATTGATTTCTCCACTATTTAATGGAAGTTATTATACATATAAACCTTCCTCTTCAATCACTCTATCTATTAAGAAAAACGCGTCAAAATCCGTTGCGTAGTTTTAAAGATTTAAGCATACATAGGGACAGACAGATATAGGGACAGAGAAAGTGACTTTGTTTTGTACTATGTAGTGAAGGCTACGTCCTTATACTGTCTTCGGTTACTGATTATCTGAAACTCTTAAATCTACCACTCACTCTTCCTTGACGATGGCGAAGTCGTCCTCCTCTTCAGTGGAAAGCTTCGCCTGCAGAGCTTTCAATCTCTCGATCTGAAACTGCAGATATGACTTCGTGCTACCTTCCTCCATGCTGAAACAAAAAAAGACATAGATGTTGCTGATGTTATTTGATGACAAATTATCCAGACTAGTGGTCCCCTGGTAGTCGAAATTCGACTATAACTAATTGAAATTATATGTTTGAACATTATTATGGTTCTATTGTCAAAGACTACTTACTATACTTATATGATTACAGATTTCACCAAGACTACTTAACTACAGACAAACAATGTTAATCTATTCTCGATTTGACCAAAGACTTTAAGAAATAAGAAAAGTTTGACAATAAACAAATAGTATGCATGCGTGCTGTGTCAAATATATGGTAGTGTGTGTAATGTTTTTTTTTAATATGTATAATTAAAAAAAAAATTAATATTCCGCACTCCTTCCCTATTTCTCTTATAAGTGTGGGATATGTCATAATCCTGCGTCCGCGCAATTTTCGTAAAAAGGGGTACAATGTTTTTGCATCACGTAGCATCACGTATTAATATATAGATAACTATAGAGCTGATCTCTCTGAAACCTCTATAGCACGGAATGACCTTGACTGTTTTACCGTGTTTCAAGGGGGAGGAATTATATGAGAAGATCTCATCATCTCGTTTCTGCCATTGGATCGCATGCCAAAGGGTTTCTAATTAACAACCACGTTCATCCACAAGGCGTTTCTTCAAGGGATCTTTGTTTCCGACGTCGGGCTATAGGATGATCTTTCCTCAAAGTAGTTTTCTGGCAGAATCTTCGTTTTACTATAGAGCTTTAAATGCTTTTAGCGGTGACCAGAAGCTTGGCTGTCTAGGACGGAAGAACCGCTCAAGAATTGATTAGATTTCGTCTACCAAAATTAGATTAATGTAAGGTTTAAATATTAGGTCAAGTTGATAGGTTGATACTCCTATTATTGATCAGAATTATATCAGACCCGGATTGAGCATTATCGAACGTAGAACAACTTTTTTTTTTTTATATAGCTTAGATGGTTGGACGAGCTCACAGCCCACCTGGTGTTAAGAGGTAGCCGGAGCCCATAGACATCTACAACGTAAATGCCGCCACCCATCTCAAGACGTAAGGTTTTAACAGTACAACGGCTGCCCCACCCTTCAAACCGAAACACTGCTTCACGGTAGAAATATGTGGGATAGTGGTTACCTACCCGTGCGGACTCACAAGATGTCCCCATCCCACCACCAATCATTACGCAAATTATAATTTTGCGGGTTTGATTTTTAGTACACGATGTTATACCTTCACCATGGAAGTCAATCGTGAACATTTGTTGAGTACGTATTTCATTAGAAAAATTGGTACCCGCCTGCGAGATTCGAACACCGTTGCCTCGACACGAATGCACCGGGCGTCTTATCCTTTAGGCCACGACGACTTCAAATATATTCTCTATCTATTCTCTTCAAGCACTGAATAGTACAGTCAGTACAGTCACAGATAGAAATGTCAAACCAATTTAAGATACCAAATGTGTCTATTTATTAAGGCTAAAAGAGCAGCTTTTCTTCTAGAAGCTCGTGCATACATTACACCCACGAAGTATAAATGAGTCGACTATTATCAAAGCCGGCAATGTGACTTTTGGACAATTATTGGTAAATCAGAAAAACGAATTATTGACTTTGTATTCCATTGGCAGTCACAAAACTCTTCTGAACGACATCTTAGATAAATAACAGGTTAAGCATTAACCTTTATTTAATGCAGTTTTTGAACCGTATTCTTTGAAGGAGACGATTATATTCAAATNTGGACAATTATTGGTAAATCAGAAAAACGAATTATTGACTTTGTATTCCATTGGCAGTCACAAAACTCTTCTGAACGACATCTTAGATAAATAACAGGTTAAGCATTAACCTTTATTTAATGCAGTTTTTGAACCGTATTCTTTGAAGGAGACGATTATATTCAAATCAATCTGTATTGACATATCAATAACATTTTTTTGTCCAAATGCACAGATTGCCACCTTTGATAATAGACGACTCAAATGATATATGGTGGGTTTACGAATTTCGTTATTTATCGCAGATATTTACGGTTCACGGTACACCTCTTACGGTACTTTACTGGTAGGACCACTTGCGAGTCCGCACGGGTAGGTACCACCACCCTGCCTATTTCTGCCGTGAAGCAGTAATGCGCTTCGGTTTGAATGGTGGGGCAGCCGTTGTAACTATACTAAGACCTTAGAACTTACATCTCAAGGTGGGTGGCGCATTTACCTTGTAGATGTCCATGGGCTCCAGTACCCACTTAACACTAGGTGTGTGTGTGTGAGCTCGTCCACGCATCTAAGCAATAAAAAAAATACTACAATTACGCACAGATGTTGCGATGTTTTTATATTAGTACGTAAACATATTTATTGTGATTGTTATAATTTATCAGTACGTGTAACTTATATTAACTATATGTAAAATTTGTTAGTCCTCTTATCAATATCGAAAGAGAAAAAGATTATTTTTTTTATTTTTTTTATTTTTTTATGTTTGAAGGATTACTGGTGGCCCGGAGGCCTTTCCAGTTTCACCAGGACAGGCGGGCGAGCAAAGGCTCAGCCAGGAGGGATGGGATTTGCTAACAGCTGCCCGAGCGCCTCCGAAGGAGACCTAACAACTCAAGAGTAGCTGCTTCGCGAATGAATCTACTACCGGATCGGAATCGCGACCCGCTGAGAAGATCCGGCGAGAAACTCAGCGAGCTGATTCATGGGTTAGGTTGCACGGCGAACTCTTTGTCGAGTTCGACGAGTACGGTTACCGAGGTCCCTAAGCCTGCTCCTAGAGCTGAAGGCGTCTAGTGCAAAGGTTANTTTTTCATGTGTGTTTTAATGTTTCCGAAGCGAAGCGAGGGCGGGTCGCTAGTATTAACTATATATTAAGTTTGTTAGTCCTCTTATCAATATCGAAAGAGAAAAAGAAATGTATGAATTAATTCATTCGTTAGTTAGAAAACCACAGTCCATATATGTTTCCGTAAGTTCAATGTTGAATTTGTCGTTCGAACCATATTATTATAGTTAATGTTCTTAATACGTATCTTACGCACGATCTATTAAAACGCCACGTCATTAATAACATCGATTACTAAATCAATCAAACTGATTAACTTTAATTGCCATAAAGACCTATCGTATTCTTCGGAAGGTTAAGTTACATCTGAATGTATGTACCATATAACTATACGAGACCTTAGAACTTATATCTCAAGGTGGGTGGCGCATTTACGTTGTATATGTCTATGGACTCCAGTAACCACTTAACACCAGGTGGGCTGTGAGCTCGTCCACGCATCTAGCAATACAAAAATAAAAAAATATATTGCATGTATGTACCACCCAAACCTCGAACATTGTACTGCATTGTAAATACCGGAAACAGACTTAGACAAGATCCCGGCAGACTTTGAATACGAATTGTTTTATTGTGGTCTAAGCTGGACCATCTTATGCCCTATTAATCATAACTGGTTACAATCGTCGAGCACAGCAATGCCAGAGCACACAATAGTCGCATGTCATGTCGGATCCTCCCGATCCACTAACGGTGCTTTTAGGTACCCCAAGCACCGGTCATCGTTCTCGTCGAACCCGTCGCTTGTGACGAAGGGCTCTGCGAGTAAATTAACCTACAGATACAGCCCACTGAGTTTCTCGCCAGATCTTGTCAGTGGGCCGCGTTTCCGATCCGGTAGTAGATTCCGCGAAGCATGGCTTTGCTAGGGTTCGTGATAGCAACTTCTGACAAAGGTTTGAGCCCCGTGAGCTCACCTACTAGTTAAGGTTACACTAATATGGATTCTCTAGACCATCAGTTTAGGTAGAAAAAAAAAAAACAATAGTCCCTGTCAACCAAAGCTTCGGTTCAAGTAGCAATTAGGTAGGATAAAGCTCGGACAAATACCGATTCATACGTGAAAGCCAACTCGGAACTCGAATATGGCGATCAAGGCGATCAATTAAAAAATAATGCGTGCAGCTAAACCAATTTAACCAGCTGTGGCTAAATTATACTGTGCACTACATTATAGAATCCAAAACGCAAACGTAGGATACCAATGTGTTGTAATAACGTAAATAATTGACAGGACATTGCAAAGGATTGTGTAGTTACTCATATCGTTGTTAAATTTTGTAAAATAATAAGTGAACTAGTAGATATAAAGTGCACAACCTAAAGAATTAGAAATCGTACATTCGCTAATAAAATGGCCGTCCGTTGCATAATATCGCGTCCGACATTGAACTGACAACAACAGCGTAAATGGAATATTTCTGGACCGAAAAACTATTAAGCGATAGGAACATTATTAACATAAGCGGCCAATGAGACGTACAGTAATTCATATTTGACAAATACGAAAGGTTTTCAAAAATAATCCGTTATATATTCGAAGATCGAATTCGAAGGAAATACGTTAAAAGAATGAAACGGTAACCGTGAACCTAGCCAGTATCAACATACATTCTAATAAGAACAAATAATGCTTATTTATAACTCAAACTTATGTTATATCGGTTACATTTGGCGACTACGACGATCTTTTAGTGCATTTATAAGTAATTACGTGTATTCCACATCCGTGTGACGACATTATCGATCGCAAACATACCTTGACCGTTCATTATTCTCCATAAATTCTTCTGATTAAACAAATATTTAACAAAACAAAGGTCGTGAATCTAAAGTTAAAAAATAAATAATACGTGTAATTGAATCAAAATAGTTTGAATTGCACAATAATTTGATAAAAATAAATAAAAACTTTTTAAGTCATAGTATAACCACAATTCGTTAGTTTTCGTTACACTCAAAATGGAACATCGCTTACCTTTTTTCGCATACCGTAAAACTCTCGTGCAAGATAGAGACAAATACCTAACCGTAAACAGAAACTTGTCAACATGGATGACATGTTAGCGCCATCTACCTTCAAGACCAGTGACGTTTGTACTCTATGGTCAAAGCTGCCAGATCGCAAAGGAATGGATTCGACTAAATCAAGTTCAAATCATCATCATTCAATCATCAAAAGATACATTTATTAAAAATAATTATCAGTTGAATACATCTAAAATATTCTATTCAACTGATAATTACTTCGAACCAACCATTATTAAAAACGCGATTATTATTATTTAGTCCGCAAATGACCCATGGTACAATGATTCAAGTACCGACAGTCATAATGGTCTGTTAATGCCTTCAGGATGCTGTTAGGGCTGACCCGGACCCGGCGAATCAGGGATGTGCATCTTTTCCGCATGGTCTTAAAGAATCAATCGACTCGTGCTTCGGCGAACATTATAACATTATAACAAGTAGGTACCACCACCCTGCCTATTTTCTGCGGTGAAATCGTAATGCGTTTCGGTTTTGTATTGTGGGGCAGCCATTATAACTATACTTGGGATCTTAGAACTTATATCTCAAGGTGGGTGCATTTACGTTGTCCTTGGGCTCCAGTAACCACTTAACACCAGGTGGGCTGTGAGCTCGTCTATCCATCTAAGCAATAAAGGCTGAATCTTGTTAACAACATTTTCAAGATAAATTTGCATAGATACGAGTTTCGAACCACAACATTAGAACCGTTAGTCTACCGAGCAATTTTATCCGCTCGGTGTAAGATCTTACCTTTTTTGTTAACACCCAAACTACTAAACTCTGTGATAGAGACAGTTACATGTAAATGTATGCACCTATACCTACATATTAAATATTTATCATCGCCAATATTAACACACATTCTTTACAATAGAACGAATTTTGTATCAAACTTCGTCTCACGCTGAAAAGATACTCTGATCTTTTCTTTTAGGTGCTTCCGGCTCACGTAGTATATCCTATACGTACAGATGTAGCAGATTCAGACTGGCGTAAACGAGAGTTTTCTTCTTTAACAGAAGATGATCAACAAAAACGGTAGAAATATCCTAATATTTTCTTACGAGCATCATTCTACATTTAGGGACTAAATCAATTGGCTCTGTAAGATACCTTAAGCACACATTCCGAAAAACTTTAATTAGCTAAAAGTCTCTGTTATTTAAAACACCGTTTAGCAAGAATGTTTAAAATTACAAATTGAATATTGTAGGAGCATTCTTGTCAAAGATCAAAGCCATTACTTATTTCTCGGCTTTCTTAACAGTTTCATCGGGGTATCTCATTATTATTAGTTCACAGAAACTACAGCTGGATAGCCTTCGTTACTTATTCTCAATGAACCAAAATGTTTGCATCATGAAATCACCTTTGCACTTTAAGTCGATTTCAATACTGATAAGAGTTTTTGTGCAGTTGCAATACTAGCCAAATCTATATTGTCAATGCTCACTCAATTTTCGCGCTGCCTAAGTTTTGAAAACAACACAGTATTGGAAAAATAAAACATAAATTACATGTCGAAACTGTGTTTAGTTACTAATTATTATATATCTTAAAATAGTGTGCAATTCATCATCTCATTTTGCACGAATTAAACAACTGTTTTCAAAAGACGAAAAACATATCACTATGAAATTCCGTGCTGTTATGAATAACTCTTCTCCAATACGCGAATTCTCAAGTAAAACTCCGCTTTAATGGTGTTGCTTACTAGTTTTTGATTATTGTAACCAGAATTTTGTTTTCAGCTATTGTTAGTACAATATCAAAACTGTCTAAGGAGTGTGTCCTAAGGATAGCAGACGATATGTTGTATTTCATTGTCAGCGATGAAAACACTGGACCAGCCCCTCCGGTACTATGGTGTGAAATACCACAAAGTGTATTTTTCTCTGAATATCAATTGGTTGGAATGGATGAAACTCACCAAGACATTTATTTAGGATTGAATTCGGGTATTATAATTTCCATTAAAAAGTGCTATGATAAAATAAATAAATTATTCTTGGTGAATATTTCCAATATCAAATGTTTAGATATTGATAATCATTGATATTAACTTAATAGCCATTAAGTTTAAAAAAGTGGTGATCTTCATTCAGGTACATCTTAAATAAATAATAAATTGTTGTTTTCCCAATACCATTTAAAGTTTCATGGTGTCTAGAAATATATAAAATAAAAAAATTTAAAATATAAAGAGTGGAAAAATTTTAGGACTAGCTGACCTTAAGCTTATGCTTAAGATGCCAGACTTCCAGACCCTTAGGGGTTATAATCAGATATTAGAAATCATTGTTTACTTGCACTCCAAAATGTTTTAAATGATAATCATGCAATATTAATAGCTTAAACCTCTTTTCACATGTATTTATATTTTGCCTAGCATTCTTTGTTTAATACACTGTTCAACATAGAGAAAATTAAATAACAATAAACATAAGAGACAATTGAACACAAATGTAATTTAAGTGTTTGGCATGGTTAGGTTGTGTGTGTTAGGTGTTATCTGTAAGATTTTGGTGTTTGTGTGTAGGAATTAGCAGTTTATAAACAGTTCTGAAACTGTTCGTTTTTTATGACAATGTGTTGCACTTTTTTTTTACTTAGATGGGTGGACCAGTTAAGTGGTTACTGGAGCCCATAGACATCCACAATGTAAATGCGTCACCCACCTTGAGATATAACTTCTAAGGTCTCAAGTATAGTTACAACGGCTGGCCAGCCCTTCAAACCGAAACGCATTACTGCTTCACGGCAGAAATAGGCAGGGCGGTGGTACCTACCCGTGCGGACTCACAAGAGGTCCTACCACCAGTGTACTTAAAGTAAAATAATCAACAGTATCTTAGATACTTATTTATATTGAATACTTGAGGACTGTTAGATCGTTTTCCAAGTTATCATAGTTAGTTCTTGTAACCAATCCATCAATTTCATTATGCATCATTTAGTTTAGTTTGCCAAATCACAAAAAACCCTTGATTTTCCTGTAACAACCACCCCTATAGCAAAGTATCAATAACAATGCTTTAAAAATAAATATTACAGACAGACAGACAAAAAATCATGTTACTGTGCAGTAAATTACTATAAGGAATGTTGAATTTTAATGTGTTCCTTTTTTATTGCTAATAAACAGAATCATGGCCCCTCTAAAGCCCATCATCATTCGTGAATATCAGTAATACTAGGAGCATGGCTGTGGCAGATAGCAAAATTGTAAAATGCCGTAATACAACTTACTGTAATTTTCAGGTAATCTCGCAAGATCTTTTGTCTCCTTGAAAAATGTAAAATCATTAAAAATGAAGTTAACAAAGAAACAGTGTCCGTGCCTAACATTGGAAATTGAAGTGGTATGCTTTTAATAAATAGCACCTGTTCACTTATGACTTGGTTAATGTAGACCTAGGAATGACCTTAATAAAATGAAGCCCCACGGATTTGTTAATATGTAACACATTAGAAATCTTGAGTCTTCTAATTGTTGCCTTTATCCCGTAGTGTAGAGGACCTATTCATTCATGTCAGCATGTCCTCTTTCTCTATTCAGACCTATCATACGTTATCTCTGCACTCACACCCTTCTCTCACATGTGCTCTTTCACGCAGTCCATCCAAGTGTTATTAGGCGGTCCCTCATTAGAAATGTTCACTATTAATATTTATTTAGTAACTAGTGAAATTAAATCGCCCTCTGCCGGTACTATTCTTAATTGATTTCCACCTAGTTGATTTATATTCTAAATACTATTGCAAGTTTCATAAGATGTAGAATGTAAGAATGTGTAAAAAACATGCATTCATTTTTATTGAAATCAAAGACTACACTAATGTTGTAAGTATCAAGTTCCAGTATAGTGCTTATTTCGATTTTTAAACAATCAAACGCACCCCCGCCTTTGGATTAAAATTTGTCAATACTATTTGAAAGTGTTGTGTTTATTCACAGTGCATTTGCAGAGATATTTTCCACATACCATCTGGTTCTGCAATTAACTCACCCCTTTCCTTAGCGCTATGACATGTGCTTCTTCAAACAAGGCTTACAAAGAGTACTTAGCGGTTGCAACTTGGCTGTGCCTCTGGCATTGCTGACATTGCTTCATGTATGAGGGCAACTACTCCCCATCAGGTGTCCACAAGCCTGTCTGTTTACAAAGGCCATAAAAAACGCTGCATTGCTATTTGCATCTTGTTAGTCTTCAGTCGTGTCTAATAAAATCAGGTAAAGTTATGCTGTGCCTGTGTGCTTATTGACAAATCCTCCAAACACCCCATAAATCTTTATGATACATCTACTTAAAAATCAATTACAATTTGGAATGCTTAGTTTGAAAAATGGAAATCTTTGATGTACATGTCGCTTGTTTGCAGCCGTCTACAACCTCTCATCAGACGAGGCAGATTGTGCATGACATTCCAGTAGCAGTTGTGCCATGGAAAAACTGGCCAGACTTTTATGAACCCAGAGTACCAGATCCTGATGTTAGTATTACTTCATCATCATCATCATCTTAGGCTGTCCATCCACTGATGTCCAGTATTACAGATGTTTAGTATTACTTGAACCCTAAAAAATATCCACCTCAGTATTAATTTAATTTGTGATCATAAAAAATAACAATTGTTAATTAAGCTACTTTCTCTGGCATTTCAGACTTGTATTTTAAAGTAAATATGTAACTATTAATATGCCTATTAAGTTTGTTAACATTGATTTGTAGAAATCACAAATAAGAATCTTTCTTTGAAATTCTAGATATCAATAGAATTACCAAGTTTGAAACAGCTACGTACAACAATAGATCGTATGAGAACGATGGCATCTGAGGTGATGGTGCGAGCTTCTGCTGGTGGTCAATTAATCTTACAGATCAGAGCAGACATGGCTAAAGTGTCTACAAGGTTTAAAGATTTGAATGTTGCTCATTTTGATGGTGAGTTTTTCTTAAGCCTTTGCCCTATCATTTTAAATGTTTTCACTCAAAACAGTAGATTTAGGTAGGAAATAACATGAGAATATGTTACATGTGATATTGATTAAATACTTTCGTTTCTCTCCCGATTAAAAAAAGACTAGATAGTTTTTTTTTCTTGCTTAGATGGGTGGACGAGCTCACAGCTCACCTGGTGTTAATTGGTTACTGGAGCCCATAGACATCTACAACGTAAATGCGCCACCCATCTTGAGACATAAGTTCTAAGGTATAAGTATAGTTACAACGGCTGCCCTGCCGTTCAAACAGAAACGCATTACTGCTTCACGGCAGAAATAGGCAGGGTACCTACCCGCGCATACTCGCAAGATTGATTACCACCAGTGATTCTTATCTATTAACATAATCTAACCCCTCCTAGGTTCTTGTTCATGAACAAATTATGATTAGGACTCTTTAATTTATGGTTTCTCTATCAGCTCTTTGAGTATTAAAATTCAACGTCTGACTTAGTCATCAACTATAATCTTAATATTTTATACTGATTTTCACAGGCCCAGTAGACAATTCGGACCCTGAAACGGACAGCCAAGGAAATGAAGATAGCTCAGAAATAGTACAGTGTCGTGTTGACGCAAAGAAACTAGCACTTTTCTTGAACGTTGATCACATATCAACGAATACAACATTATGTAGTATTGTGCACAAGAGACTTGTGACATTGTGCTTACAGACAGATGATAATGTTAAATTGCAATGTTTCATAAGTGGAATTGTGTATTGAGCAAGAAAGGTGTCAAGAAATTCATTAGTACACAGTGATTTATTAAGTTAGGACCACACTGGTGGTAGGTATCTTGTGAGTCAGTCCACACAGGGAGGTACCACCACCCTGCCTATTTCTGCTGTGAAGCAGTAATGTGTTTCGGTTTGAAGGGCGGGGAAGCCATTGTAACTGGATCCAGTAACCACTTAACCAGGCGGGCTGTGAGCCTGTCTAACCATCTAATAAATAGGTAAATAAAAAAACACAAATATAAAAAAAAAACTATGTTCAATTCATTAAGTTAGAAGTTAAGTTTTTGTAAAATTACAATGTAATTCAGAAGCCAAGCTCTGGTAACTTGTTACATTGTAGGGGCGTTGACCCCGCACATCAGCTGTTTTCTTATTGTTACATAAAAATTATTACTAAGAGTGAATTTAATTTGTTTAATTTTAAATTGTCGTTGACAGGATTCGAAATTATTTAATATGTTGTTTTTAACTAATTGCCTAGTCTTGTGTAAGCAATAAAAAGATATTTATTCGCAAAATTTTTGAAATTTCACATTTCAGTTGTGAAACCATTGCAAGTTCCTGTTTCGATTCTTCAGATTCACCTCCATCTCCAAGCACTAGTCACCATTCTTGTCGAATGCGTCGAAGTGTTCAACACGCAACGTAGCCTTTAGACGCAAATCACTGAGTTACACGCCGGATGTTCTCAGCGAGTCGTGATTCCCATCTGGTGTTAGATTCAATGAAGCACTGCTTTTGCTAGGTCCAGTGTTGGTAATTCCCTTAGGTTCACGAGCTCACCTAACTCCGAGCGTAGCTGGAATAGGCCCTTAGGCAACCAGCGCTTATGTAGGGAAAAAAGTTTAATGGGTCGACAGCCGTTACCGTTACACAATAAAAATGAGATATCAATTTCATATCTCAGGCTGAGTGGCAGTTTTGGATGTGATTTTTTTGACCTATGGTAACCACTTAAAAGCAGGTCGGCCGGGAAGCTCTTTCACCCATTAAAATGGAAAAGATTAAGGTACCTACCTCCTACCTCGAATATATTAAGTGTATAATCTATGGTACCTACATACAAAACAAACTTATGGGGGACTTTTTGGCGGGAACGCGAGAAGTGAAGTTGTGTGATTTGTTTTATTTTGTCTATTTAGTGTTTCTTCGGGTTTAAATGTGTAATAATGGTGGTTTATTAACCGTTTAATATCTGTGAAAGTGCACAAATGTGGGAAAATAAAACAAAGCCGCTGGACGTAACTTCTCGGGATCCTCCAAAAAGTTCACTGAAAAATCTTAGTAAATGACCACCATTTTACTGAGATTAGATTTCATTTCATATCATCTCATTTAATTTCATCCTAGTTGATTAATGTCTCAAATTAATCATTTTCATTTCATTTCACTCCATAATATCATTTTTCATAAAATTAAGAATATAGATTAAAATAAGATATGACTTAAAGGTCTCAGTTACCAGATCATAAAATCTCTTAAAAAAAAAAACAAACGGACTTTTTGGCGGGAACGCGAGGAGTGAAGTTGTGTGATTTGTTTTATTTTGTCTATTTAGTGTTACTTCAGGTTTAAATGTGTAATAACGGTGGTTTATTAAAGGTTTAATATCTGTGAAAGTGCACAAATCTGGGAAAATGAAACAAAGCCGCTGGACGTAACTTCTCGTAATCCTCCAAAAAGTCCACTGAAAAAATCTCCGTAAATGACCACCATTTTACTGCGATTATATTTCATCCCATATCATCTCATTTCATTAAATTTCATCCCAGTTGATTAATGTCTCAAATTAATCATCTTCATTTCATTTCACTCCATATTATCATTTTTCATAAAATTAAGAATATAATATTAAAGTAAAATAAGACATGACTTAAAGGTCTTAGTTACCAGGTCATAAAATCTCTTAAAAAAAAAAAAAAAAACTTTTAATTTTGAGCCACATTATGTGTTGCCATCTTGTGAATCGTGAATTACTACTAATGGATAAGATAAACTGTTCGACACTACTAGTACACATAATGTTATTTATAATTTATTGCATAGTGATTAGTGGTATGACGAACTACATATCACTATCAGGTCGGAATGTCACGTTGCTATGCATTAGTTTATTTCTTTAAAGGCTACTCGTTACATACGTAAGCTGCTGTCCCACTAATATATATAAACTTACTGTGCCACAAAAATAAATGCAAATAGAATTTTGAAAGAAGTATGTAATATAATCATATCTACAGTACACAGACAAAAATTAAAGAATTGCTAAGAAAAATTAATTTATACTTTACTCATGCATCATCATCGCATCAGTTGGTGTAACTTAACTCTACATGGGAGATAAGCTCACTGATGTATCTGATGTACCTGAAATATATTAGTAATAATAATGGAGATATTATTATAAAGATGTAAATACATAATGATTAAAACTAGTTTTAATTTTATTATGTTTATGACTCTCCAAACCTATAGAAAATAATAAAAAAATCATATAATATCCATTATTTATTTATTTATTTTCGTTATTAATAGATGCATTAATATGTTTTATTTAGAAATAGGTAAACAATCGATAACAAAATATACACTGCACACAGCTGTGAATCGTTTTAAAAATCTGGTAACATTAGTAACTTTGCTGTCAAATGCGAATTGTTATGAAAATATCTGAGAATTAATTTTTTCTCTAATTTTCTCCGTTACAATAACTTTAACCGTCTATTTTATTTATTAATTTTGATAACTCGAAACTATAAAGTGGCCTTGCTTTTAATGTTCCCAAAGAGTAGTAACAGTTGCCTTACATTTTATAGTGATGCGTGTTGGGTTTTCTTTTTATTTCCCTCATAAAATATTTGTTTGTGGATGAGATGGAAGAGGTACGGCAGCTGGTGCAAGAAGAAGGCAGGGAAGCCAGGAATCTAGTTGCATTTCACGTAGCGGTGGACACACCGAGTAAGTATAGAAAAAAAATATTCATACCGTTCTTTTTAATCGGTTCTCGCGTTGATATTCGTGGGCGTTTATATTTTATACCTAACGTTTAAGTTGCGAATAAGGAGCGTCTGATGTTTACTAAACACTAAGGTCAAGCTCTAAAAAATTTTAACCCATGAAATCTCCAAAATGCGACACACATCTGTGATGTTTTTTTGAATGTTATAAACAATCTGAACTTTCCTAATAATAATTGGCGCTTGAAGAAATCAATAATGTTTATTTTTATCCCTCTGAATTATGTAAGGTTGTGTGGGAACCTACCACCTGCTGCCTTAAAGGTCAAGGGAATTCAGATCAATATATTTTATTATTCTTAGCTTATTTCTCTGTGCAGCACTTCTTTTTGTAGCATTGTAGAAACATACATATTTGGACAACATTTAAGCCAGCTTTTGATTATTATTTTTAGAAAATACTTTGTCTATTAATCTACTTCAAATAAGTAAGAAGTTATCATTTACCTGCTTGGAATAGGTAGAAATTTTAACATAATTGTACCACTTTGTTATTAATTATATCTCTTTATTAAAGTACCAGTGTTCCCTATCAGGTTGACCCAATAATTTGTATGTCTCAAATCATTAACTTTAATCATTTTTTCCCAAGAGTATGTGGGTCCGTTTCCCGCATTCGGCAAATATTTATGTGACGAAGAGGTTTGTTGGCTCATTGTCTGGGTGTTTTTTATTTATATATTTTGTTGAATATGCAAGTCAGTCTCAGGTATCCACAATGTTTCCCAATATTAATTTGGAGCTGGACGACTGTGCATGATTTGTGTCCCAAGTTATTTATTTATTTGTGCAATTGGATTGTATCTTTTAACTCAAGTGAGCTGTGAGATCATCAGTTTCATTGTGAGTGATGTAAGCAGTTCTACTGTAGTATTGTTAAAAAGCTAATAATAAGAATGAATCATGATACAATCTTGAGGTTAATTTTCATTAGCTGAATTTGTTTAATATATTATTATGTAATTATTTTTATCAGATATATAATAAAAATATTTTTTATTAAGTGCTAATGGGCAGTTTACAAATATTACATGTGTAATCAAAAACTAAAAAGATTGAGAATTTAAAAGAAACAACAGTGGTCAAATTTTTTTTTAATAATGCTATTTAGATAAACTATTATTAAGAATGATTCACAATATTTCATTTAAGTTAATGAGTCCGACAAATATAAGATTTGAAATTACAATATACATTAACTTTGTTATTTAAATGTGCACTCCTCAACTGTAAAGGTTTTACATCAGTTAACTATTTATTTAACTTAAAAACATGTAACTTAAAGGTTATTAAATTACCATTATATTAACATAATGTAACACATAGTATTGCCTGTTTTTCCAGATATATATTTGTAATAAATTCTCTTTAACTGTAAATATAGTTGACATAGAAAATAATAGTTCAAGTCTGAAATTTGATGTGCGCTATTGACAAATTAATAATCATGACCATTGAAAAAAAAATTATATTTCTATCTGTTTTGATATTAACCAAATTAGCAATAAATATATACTAAACTAATATTTAATTTCTTTTAACATGTCAAGGACCAATTGTAAATCTTAGGTTTTAAAAAGCGTGTGATGCTTCAGGCTGATTTCCTAACAGCTTATTATATCACGCTATTAAAATCAGAATCTACAGTAGGCAGCGGCTTGGCTCTGCCCCTGGCATTGTTGAAGTCCATGGGCGACGGTAACCACTCACCATCAGGTGGGCCGTATGTCCGTCTGCCTACAAGGGCAATAAAAAAAAAGGAATGTAAATTCATCAAACCAGTAATTAAGCATTCGATTACTACTTATACATGTGTTTATTGATAGTATCGCGGGTGCAAACCCGTAAGCCACCACGCTCAGCGCCACCCCGTCGTCCAGTTGCTCGACCCTCGCGGCTGCGGTCTGCCTCCGCTGGACGAGACAAACGATCTGAGCTCCGTGCTAGATACTGGGCGTTGCTTTTTGGAGACCTTCAGAGGGCTGTGAGTATTATCAATACTAGCATTGCTTGTTCATTATCATCATCATCTAGTGAAAAACTACTGGCTATAGATTTTTGAAGTGTTCTTTAGAATTGAAGTTTTTGCTTCCAACTCTTATCTGCCCAGGGTCAAATATCCGTCCAATAAGCAGAAAAACGTTACATAAGTCATGCTTGTGCGTGGTATATTTGTAAATAATTTATCTGTTTGTCAAGTAAATATGTATTAAGTATCTGTGGGCAGGCAGAGATGACTGCCTCTTGCGAATATAGTAGTCGGACATTGATCCTCAATAGAAATCAAACCTGAGCTTTGCATTATAAAAAAAATAAGTCAAAATCACAAAGTATGTTAAAAATCAATCAGGCCTTATTTATTTTGATATTCATAGAATTAATGCAAAGTCCTACTTAAATTCATTGCGAAATCTCTTGCTCAGATTGGTGAAATCTACAACACGGTGGAAGCACACGAAAATCTAAACGAATGTCAAGAAGTAATACTTGTTTTAGAGAACTACACGCGAGATTTTAAAGCATTAGGTGAATGGTTCAGACTCAAATGGGAATATGATAACACGCCTCCGCCACAAAGACCTCAAAGTCTAGCATGGGAAATTAGAAAAACAGACTTCGTTCGTCCCGAGTCCCGACGCACTCACTCCGTCAAGAGCTCTCCTTCAGTCTCTGGAAAAAATAGCCCTTGCCTCTCTGGCCACAACACTCCGAGCGGAAAGAATAGCCCAAATCTCACCGGGAAAGCTAGTCCAGGCAGCGGGAAGATCAGTCCACGCGTTTTAAGTCATCCCACCACTAGTCCTAAGGCGAATGTTGAATTTTTCAGCAGTAAAATAGCAGCTAAAATTTCTCCGAAACCCGATGCTAAGATCGCCAAGGATACGATACGACTATCTGATATAAAAGAAAAGGAGAGTAAAGACTTTGTCAATCAAAATTCCGTCAGTGAAGATAGTAATGTATTTATTCAGAAAGAAGCGTCGGAGAATAATATTAAAACTGTTGAAGTAGGTAGAGCTAAAGAGATCGCGAATGTCAGTCCGAAGCACGTGATCCTCAAAACTACAGCAAAAAATGATAGCAAAGAGATGAAAACTAGCGAAACGATCTCGGAACAAGCTAAATATACCATAAGTAAACTCGACGCCATGGAAAACGAGTTTCTAGCAAAACAGTTAATAGTGAACGTCGCTAAAAACCAAAACATGTTGAACAAATCTAAGGAAAACGAAATTGAAAAAATATTCAGTAACACCAATACAATTCGCATCGACATGAAAGAGCCAGAGAATCATAACGGTGTAATTATTAAAGTCGAGGACATTAATTCTTTAATTGACGAAAAGCAAAGTTTATCTACGGAATCTCCAGCAAAATCCGAAGATAACTTCGGTGACGTTTCAAACGATAGTTTCAAGTCAAACGACGAGAAAATAGTTCATGAAAAGACCGACAAAAATATTGATGCTAAAGAGGATGAAAGCAGTAACTCACATCACATGAATAAACATTCGTTTCTTCCCGCCCTTGAATTGGCCAATCTTGACCCCATCGACAACATGACGCCTAATTTAAAAGAATCTAAAATAGAACTTGGTGATAGTGATGTTACAAATGGATATTTAGATTCATATAAAGACCTCGAAAAGGATAGTGATACCATGAAAAAAGAAGAAATGAAGAAACCTGAATCAAAAACCGAAGTTAAAGTCCTTAGACCAGCTTATTCTCAGGCAGCTGCTAAACCAAAACAAGCACCAGTAAAACCTGAAGTGAAAACTCCGACCAGAGTCTCCAACCTTCCCAAGAGTAAAGCTCCTTTAGAAATACGACCGGCTACAGCACCCAAAACTCCGAAAATGCCTAAAAGAAACCAAACAAGTAAATGCAGCTATCCCTTCAATCTGACGACCGGACGAACTAGCCTATTTGATCCAGCGACGAATAAAACAACTCTCAAGAAACCCGTTCGACACATGGGTGCCGGTGACTCCAAGCCACCTACAAAGCCGGACACCAAGAAACCTTCACTCAGACCGACATCCCTGAAAATTAACGAAAAAGGTGATAAACCGGAGAAGTTAAATCCGACGCTAGAAAAAATCAAAGACTGCGATGAGTACAGTAGCTCTGATACAATCGTAACACAAATCGATATATCGCGAATCGAATCTAGTGAAAGTCTGAAAACCTTGATTCCAGAAGACAATGTTGGGAATTCCGTTGAAGTTCTCAATGTTGACAACAACGATAATGAGGGCTGGTTGACTGTTAAGTCAAAACGNCTACAAAGCCCGACACCAAGAAACCTCCACTCAGACCGACATCCCTGAAAATTAACGAAAAAGGTGATAAACCTGAGAAGTTAAATCCGACGCTAGAAAAAATCAAAGACTGCGATGAGTACAGTAGCTCTGATACAATCGTAACACAAATCGATATATCGCGAATCGAATCTAGTGAAAGTCTGAAAACCTTGATTCCGGAAGACAATGTTGGGAATTCCGTTGAAGTTCTCAATGTTGACAACAACGATAATGAGGGCTGGTTGACTGTTAAGTCAAAACGATTGAGTCGCGAATCAAAAAAGCAATCAAGGTCACACTGGGCCAATCGTTTCAACCAGCCGTCCGCTACAACCAGCTTACCGACGCTTATGATCGAATCGCCCAAACAAGAGTCTAATCCCATTGTAACTTCAGCGCACAGAGCTAAGTCTGAGCAGCCTCAATTTAACTTGGAGAACGCTCCGAGAGAACAGAAATCTTTTGCGCCCGAACCTGCCATAATAAACCAGAAATGTATTGAGGAAATGTCAGACTCGAACGTAAAGTCTGATGACGAAACAAATTCCAAAGCTGAAACAGCTATCAGTCCGGTGCCGAAGTCATCAGAAGCGTATTCACCGGACCTTCCTAAATCGAAGGAAGATTATTCTAATGCCGCTACGAAATCGGCCGACGAAAGCTCACCGCCGCTACTGAAATATTCGGATGACTTGCAAAAGTCTGATGATCCGTCGATAATCCGTCAAAAATCCGATGTGACTGGCTTGAAGACTCGTTCAGCCAGAAACAAAGCCATGCGCAAAGGCAAGGCGAGGGTACGAGACGACATAGACCTGACCTCGAACAGACTCCACTCGTCTCTAGAAAGTCTCACGACCGCGCTGTCCCGTTCCCAAGAGAGCACCGAAGATATGTTCGATTTCGACAAATGGAAGGTGGAGTTCGTGTCCACGTTCAAATATTCGGACGACGACGATCAAATGACGGACCAGAATGATATACTGGAGACGGCCGATCCGTCGGAGATGTCGGAGATCGCGGAAATGACTTCGCAGATCGAGGAGAACGAACGGAAGATCAGCCTGGCTCTCGACTTTCAGTCCGAAGTCGACCAACGGAAGCTGAGCGAGGAAGAGGATCTACTCAATCGCCAGATAATGGAGCTGCAGCAGGTTTCTGATGTCGATCTGGACACGGAGACCGATGACACGGAGGTAATTAGATTAAATAATGCCGCTTCATTAATGTGTTTTTATTTTATTTGAAATTTTTACATATAAAACTTATTATGCATGGTGATGATGAACATTATAGGTGTTTCTTCCTGGAACGTGAAATCGTCTCGAATGCATTCTCAAGGTCAGAGACATGAGGTCGAAAGTCCGCGTTTTCAACTTTTCCAATTCGAAATGTTTATTCTAATGTATCTATGCGACCGTAGTAACCGTAAAAACAGGATACATGTTAAATATTTATAAAAAAAATGTGTTTTTGTAAACAGTACATTGTACTTCATGTTTATAGATGGAACTTCTTAGAATGCCTTATATTTAACTGTTTGTGAAACGGGAACATTATCTAATTATTTATTCGATTATTTTTAAGGAAAAACAAAATAAGTGACAAGGTTACTCATTAGTTGTATCGTACAGACAGACGCGGAGCTGGTGTGCGAGGGTGCTGGACTGGAGGAGCAGTACGAGTCGGCCCTCGCCTCCATGTCCTGGGCGGAACGAGTCGACACCCTCGGAGCGCTAGAAGCTCTCGTCGCCAGAGACCCAGGTAACACAAGCTGCACAAGCGCTGATAAACGCTGTACTATCGCCGATATAGCCGCGACGTGTATATACTACAAAATAAATAAAAAGAAAACTGAATTCAATAACATAAATCAACATAGTCTTTAGTCGTTTTTTTTTTATTTTAAAGCAGGTGGTCTTATTTCAATTTAATCAAGTTTTGATGACTAGCTATCGTTGTTATTGTATGTATATTGGTGGTAGAACGTCTTGTGAGTCCGCGCGGGTAGGTACCACCGCCCCGCCCATTTCCGCCGTGAAGCAGTAATGCGTTTCGGTTTGAAGGGTGGGGCAGCCGTTGTAATAAAGAGTAAGAGTAAAGTAGTAGTAGTAAAGAAAAATCAATTTTACGTCTATAAACATTGAGTTGTAACTGTAATGTGCATTGTACATTACAGTTACAAAATGTACATGTACTAACGAGAAACTTCGTTGGTTCATAACATATTGGGCCATAACGTATTGGTCCATGATACATTGGTCCATAACACATTGGTCCATAACACATTGGTCCATAACACATTAGTCCATAACACATTGGTCCATAAAACATTGGTCCATAACATATTAGACCATAACCGGGCATCGCCACAGGTCGAGCCCAGCAGTTGCATGCGAAGCTATCGCAGAGCATCAAGCGCCGCGGCAGCTTCCAGGACGCCCTCAGGAGGCTCCAAGCTAAACAGGCCCGGGCTGAGAGACAGAGACTGGAATATCAGACGGAGAGAGCTAAGAAGATACACCATCTTCTTGCTAGAGTTGAAGAAGTCAAGGTGAGGATTCTGTGCAATAATCGTTTTTTTTAGGGTTGAGTGAGGACCACTTATGTTTCCACGAAGGGTTTCCTGGTCATCTGTCACATCTTCACCTTAACCTCTTGCTCGCCTGTTCTTCGAATCCTTATACAGACTATTAGGTGCTTTTAGAATCAGACTACGATCTGATCTTTCAAGATGAGTGCGAAATTCACTTGCAATGCCTATAAGACCCCGTGCTAGGGATGTTCGATGTTGGAAAAACATCGATGATTGCATCGATAATGACATCGATAACAGAACATCGATTCTCGATCGATACACACAAAATATACACACAAAATATCGATAACAGCCAACATCGATGTTTTTTTGAAAACATTGATCACTTAATAAAACAGTCTAAAATCACAACGTTTTTATAATTCAACAAAATGAAGAATAAATTTAAGATATCAGGGCATAGATACACGTTATAAGTTCCAATATTATTTGTGAACTGACTGTAAAAATAATAACTTGGAAAGGGCAGAACCTTTCAACCTATTGCGCTGTTGATATAGAGTTGAACCAGCCAGCAGAGTTTCGATACGTGTCCGTGACATCGTGTTTTATATAATGCAATATCGATGTTAAAACATCCATGTTTTATGTTTTAATATCGATGACCATGGAACATCGATCATCGAGCATCCCTACCTCATACATAATCGATAATAACAAAGTACTTATTTAATGTTCCCATGGAGCGCTTGCCTTGATGAAGATTCGTCAGTGATAGCTTTTAATAGTCCATGCCTCCGTTTCAGGTAGCCAAAAATCAATTGATCGAAGAGAAAAGACTGAGAATGGAACAGAGGCTGCAGAAAGCGGCCGAGAACAGAGACCAGCATCTCAAGGTATTGATCACGATAAAGCAAATAAACAATATCATACATTTGTCACTCGCCTTAAAATTTTAGTACGATAAAAGTAGCAATGGAACACAAATTGATGTCATTTAACGCAGGGGTCACTGACCTAGTGCGGCAGTATGAGTCAGCTGATTTCGTGTCACCTCCGTTAACTTACACGGTTTAAATAAAAGCGCTTATTGGAGCTGAGTGGAGGGAAACCTCATCTCTGGCCTTTGCGCTTCTGTCCCAGAATTCAGGTCCCCTTTCAAGTCTGTGTTCCCCGGTATTGCTGATTTCCGTGAACGACTCTCGACTTTAAGGCGAATGATAAAAGGAAGATTTTCCACCGAGCGGGTGTCATGGTGTCTAATCATGTTGTATGCGCCGTATAGATTTATAAAAAAAACATGTCTAATGTACACAGTGTCGTGAATTATTAAACTAATCTGTATTTCCGCATTCAAGGACATAGTACGTAAAGCTCACGACGAAGAGGAAAAGCTCCGCGAGATAGCCTTCATCAAGCAGCTGGAGGCTGAGAACAGACGCCACGAGTTCCTGGACCAGTGCAGGTCGCAGAACACCAGGCTGAGGCAGATGAGGCGAGAGAGACTCACTAAACTCGTGAGTTTATTTATCACTCTATTAACCTAATCCCCCGAGTGCGACAGAGAGGGTCTCTCTTGCTGTCTCGCTCTCTCACGGACTTCGAGCTCGGCTTGTGTTAGCTCGATAGTTCTCATTATGCTTTAATCAGATCCTTTTAAAGCTTGCAGTGTTGCCATAAAGCTCTCTAAATAGAAAAAAACGCGACATGTGTTGCCTGATCAAAAATAACTTTGTAAAAAAGTGGAAACACCCTAATAGTGCTTACATCCGTTCAGACAGAAAAAAAAATTAATTTGTGAAACACTTAACAGTACTGATGACATCTAAAAACAAAAAAAAAAACAATATTACCGAAATCCGACCGTATCCCCGACACTTTAAGGCTTAGATTCATTTAAGTGTTCGACTTTTTTTTGTTTTATTTTGACATTTATGCGAAACTAACTCATTCCCAATGACTAAGAGACTTGAAAATGACACAGAGCTGCTTTGCCATATGGCAGCGGATGTAGAGGGTGCGGCTACGAGCTAGAGTAGTACTGTTAGTGTTGACGGCGTTGAAAGTCGTCGTGGCTTAAAGGATAAGACGTCCGGTGCATTCGTGTTGAAGCAATGCACCGGTGTTCGAATCCCGCAGGCGGGTACCGATTTTTCTAATGAAATACGTACTTAACAAATGTTCACGATTGACTTCCACGGTGAAGGAATAACATCGTGTAATAAAAATCTAACTCGCCAATTTTAGTTTTCGTATTTACTGGTGGTAGGACCTCTTGTGAGTCCGCGCGGGTAGGTACCACCGCCCTGCCTATTTCTGCCGTGAAGCAGTAATGCGTTTCGGTTTGAAGGGTGGGGCAGCCGTTGTAAATATACTTGAGCCCTTCGAACTTATATCTCAAGATGGGTGGCGCATTTACGTTGTAGATGTCTATGGGCTCCAGTAACCACTTAACAGCAGGTGGGCTGTGAGCTCGTCCACCCATCTAAGCAATAACAAAAAACGTTGTGTCAGGCCGCCGCAGCAGCCCGGGAGGCGGCGGCGGGGGCGCGGCGGGCGGCGCTGGAGGCCGCGCGGCGGCTCAGGGTCGCGTCGCTGCTGGAGCGGCGCCGCCAGAGGGACGCCAGGGTGCTGTCCCACCGCGAGCTGCTGCACCGGGAGCGCTGCCACGCCAACCGGGAGAAGGTACGCGTTTGGAATTGAAACTTCTTTAGAATCGTTGTGATTTCAAACTCGATGAAACGAAAAAATAAGTCCATAGAGACACAAACACATAAATGTATAGGATTCAGCCGCCGAGAAAATGAGATAGAACCAGGTCCGAGCGTTCTCTACGTGCTATGTTAGTATGTGTTTAATGCATGTGTTTGCGCCTATGTATTAGAAAGTTTTAGGTTAGGTTAGGTAAAAAAAGCGAAGGGTGCATGGTATCAGTAGTTATAAATATTTTATAAACAGATACGAGTGAAAGGGTTATTTTGATAATATCCTGAAAAGCACCCCACGCTTTTTTTTCCAATAAAATCATTATTTCTTACACTATTGTTAATTCAAATTAATTAAAATTTATTTTCTATTTTTAGTTGGATTTTATATTAAAGCGTATTTTGTTAGTTTTTTTAAGCTATTATTTATAACTTACTAGCGACCCGCCCTCGGAAACTGTAATTTATTATTGATTTCTCCACTATTTAATGGATTTTATTATACATATAAACCTTTCTCTCCAATCACTCTATCTATAAAAAAAATACCGCATCAAAATCCGTTGCGTAGTTTTAAAGATTTAAGCATACATAAAGATATAAGGACAGAGAAAGCGACTTTGTTTTTATACTATGTAGTGATCGTTGTCCTCTTGCAGGCGGAAGGAGTGAAGTCTCGACTGTCCGCGCTGGCTGCGGCCGCCGAGCTCGAGGCTGACGCTCTGAGGTCTCGGATCCGGGACAAGCAGGACGCCACTCAGCTGCGGCTGGACCGGCACCTGCAGGCCATAAGGGACCGGGCCACCACCAGGGTCGCGGTAACTATATACTCCGATATCCGCGGTCGTCAAAACTTTAGGCGAAAAAATTTGAAAACAGCGCCATCTCTTGACCGACCCTCCGGTACCCGCGGTAGTCAAAACTTGAGGTAAAAATTTGAAAACAGCGCCATCTATTGACCGATCCCACTACTACAATTTAACTTTATTTTTTAAAGGGAATTTATGACCTGGTTACTAAGACCTTTAAGTCCTGTCTTATTTTAATTTATATTCTTATTTTATGAAAACTGATAATATGGAGTGAAATGAAATGAAATGAGATGCGATAATATGATATGGAATTAAATATAATCTCAGTAAAATGGTGGTCATTTACTGTACTTTATGTTTGTATACATAACTTAATAAACACATGTTCGGTGATATATTACCGAACACCTTTGTCAGCATAATTCGCGTGATGCGTTAACTTTATTTCCACAAATCGTCAGTGCACGATCAACAACCGCGTCACCCGGGTGCATTCGTAACATTAACATTTAATTGATTTACTTTATATATTTATATATTTTTTTTATTGCTTAGATGAGTGAACGAGCTCACAGCCCACCTGGTGTTGAGTGGTTACTGGAGCCCATAGACATCTACGACGTAAATGCGCCACCCACCTTGAGATATAGGTTCCAAGGTCTCAAGTATAATTACAACGGCTGCCCCACCCTTCAAACCGAAACGCATTACTGCTTCACGGCAGAAAATAGGCGGGGTGGTGGTACCTACCCGTTTTACAATAATCATTTTAAGCAACATAATCTTTAAATAACAAACTCACACCGCACCCTAAAACACATATCGACGCTTGAAAGGCAAACGTGACTAAGCGACAATGCGTGAACTTTACAGTAGACTAATTTAAAGTAAAAATACCTGAAAAAATTCTATTTTAACGAATCTAACTGTAGGGTTGAAATGATTTTAATAGACCTAGAAATATATATATATATATATATATATTTTGCGCATCGAATATGGTTATTGCTTAACATTTATGTACAAAGCAGTTATTTTCACTTAGTCACGTTTGCCTTTCAAGCGTCGATATAATATATATTGTCCGCAGACAACATCGGAGAGTCAAGATGAAAAAACGAAAGAGGAGAAGGACATTAAGGAGGCCGCCGAGCGAGTGGAGCGGGAGAGGAGGGACCGGGAGAAACAGAAGGCCATCAAGAAGAGAGCCAGGAAGGTCAAGCAGAAGCTGCTGTCCACGTGAGTACGCGAGGGCGGCTTAGTCAGAACAACACACGTGTTGAGACTGTTCAGCCATTAGCAATTTTAATAATAGGTTGGGAAAATTTATTCGCATTTTTTATTACTTAGATGGGTGGACGAGCTCACAGCCCACCCGGTGTTAAGTGGTTACTGGAGCCCATGGACATCTACAACGTAGACGCGCCACCCACCTTGAGATATAAGTTCTAAGGTCTCAAGTATAGTTACCATAGTATAGTTTTGGCATCACGTGGCTGCCATTCTGTTATAATTTTAGTCCATTTCATTCTGCTTTCTCTTGTCATAATATGTCCTGTCCATCGCAATTTTAACGGTCTTATTTCCTTTAGTACGTCTTCCACCTTTGTTGTCGATCTAATGTCTGCTGCCATTCAATCATTAGCAGTTTTTAATTGTCTTTATTGCGTTGGTCACGGCGCGGCTTGGGGAGGTCGTGAGCTGATTCGTACAAACGTGACCTGCCGGGCTATGACCAGTTTTCAGACCAGACTCTGGTCTGGTCTGGCCACGTTTCTGACCTTGTAATTGTAACAGTAAACAGCGGTTTGACTCTGCCCCTGGCATTGCTGACGTCCATGGACGACGGTAATCACTTACCATCAGTTGGGCCGTATGCTCGTTTGCCTACAAGAGCAATAAAAAAAGTGTCACTTGGAAATTGATTCTATACAAATTCGTTGATTTAAAAACAAAAATTGTTTTTATTGATTTTTTTTTAAGATTTCACGTCCTGGTAACGAGACCTTTCAGCCAAGTTTTAGTTCTTCTTTTATTCACATGTACGAAAAATGAAATAAAGTGAAATTAACGTGAAGTCGATTGGTATGAGACTTTAATCAATTGAAATGAAATTAAATGAAAACCAAATAAGAATGCAATGAAATATAGTCTCAGTAAAATAGTGATTGCTTATAAATTTTCGGTAGACCATTTGAAAAAATTCAAGAAATTATGCCCAGCGGCCTTGTTTCATATTCTCATTTTTGTGCACTTTCATAGATGCTAAACATAAAACTAAACACAGCAGCAAAGCTGAAGAAGAACAAAATAAAAAAAAACAATACATATAAATAAAATTAGAGTGTCTGTTTGTAGTATTGAAATAACCGCTTTTTACTACATGCATATGAATATATATACGGTACATATACCAAAATAACATTTTTTACAATTTTTGTCTGTCTGTCTGTTTGTTTGTTTGTTTCGGCTAATCTCTGGAACGGCTGGACCGATTTTGATGAGACTTTCAATAATAGGTAGCTGATGATATAAGGAGTAACTCTGGCTACTTCTTTTTGAGACTAGTTTCGCCCCGCGGCTTCACCCGCGGTACGATTTAATAATAAGATTTCATGTTTCCGAAGCGAAGCGAGGGCGGGTCGCTAGTAATACTTTTAAGTTCACACAAATTCTTTCTTCACGCTCCCGCCAATAACTCACAAATTCTCATTGCCAGGAGCGACGACATCGACCTCTCCGACCAGAACGACCACCCGTCCGGCAAGATGACCAAGGTCATCAACCAGATATCGGCCATCATGGCGCCGCTGCTGGAGCCGGGCCTGGTCGCCAGGAAGCACCACAACGGCTTCGAGGAGGAGGTGGTCAGAACGAAGAAGAACAAGAAGAGTAACAGGCTGAGCAAGAGCGGTTCCGTGTGTAGTTCCGGCAGCGACCTCAGCCGGGCGGGGGCGGAGCGTGGGGCGCCGCCCTGTCTCGACGTGCCGCTGCTCGAGAAGCAGCTGAACGAGCTGCACCGCATGCTCGAGAAGGTCGACAAGGTACCGGCCACTGGCTCTCAAACTTTCATACTCAGTGACGCACTGACACACTAGATTGTAGTACAATTGACGTCTAGTAAAATAATTTTTGAAGTGCAACTTTTTAGGTGCGTTGAGAGTAAAATTTAAGTTAAGTCTAGTAGATAGAAAATATTAAATTTAGTAAGAGCTACAGTGAGAACCACTCGACTGTGGAGAGAGGGAGAAAGCGAGCTCGGTCTTTTCACTTATACACATTATATTTATAGCTCCTGTAGATGGCGGTAACATATTAACTATCCTATATTTTATTTTTATTGAAGTATTTAAAAAAAAAAACCAATTTTCATAGAAAACCACAATACTACACACGGGAAAAGAAGTTTCACTTCTTTCACGTGCACCAAGCTACACGCGCATCATTTTTTATATAATGTATACTACCAACACATACAAGAAGGAAATTTCCCATGTTATTTTAGGCGCGTTGAGGGCAGAAAATGTTACTGAACTTTTTTTAGTTTGCATCATTTATATATGAATATTTATGTATGAGAATAACCAGGCTCTTGTTTCAAAAGTTCGACTAGGCTTGGAGAGTACTCTATTAAATAATATTTACATTCTTCGACTCAGAATTAAATCTCAAAAGCAACCACTTTACTATGTGTATGTATGTACTACCGCCCCCCCCCACAAAGTCGGGGGGACCCCGGGGGGACGCTTGATCTACTTGAGTATTACTATGGATCACATGTAACATAAAACTGCCTTTTTATTTAACGCATTCACACGTTTCGGACACAAGCTGGGGCATTTGAAGGTGAGCTTAAACATTGTATTTTGTTCGTAGTTCGCGAGCGATACAGTTTTTCGGTTTTTGTGGTCAAGAACGACTAAGTTGTGAATGTTTTTCGGCCAGGAGCTACAAGAGAAGGCAGCGTACCGCAAGATCCAAGGTCTTAAGGTGGTCGGTCAGATGCTCGCCGTCGCCGCCGAGAGGGAGGACGTGGCTCCCCAGTTCACCACCAAGTGAGTCGATCGCAGGGTGCAATGGCGTGAGTTTTTGCGGCAGCCGCGTAACAAGAGCCCGGTGCTGGTCCGCAGGTGTCTGAGCGCGGCCGTGCAGTGCGTGGGCCGCGCCATGGGCGTGTGCAGCCGCGGCTCCGTCGCCTTCGTGTGCGGCGCCACGCCCGTACACCTCGCCACCATCCTCACTGGACTGCTCGTGAGTACCAGGGGAACGGGGGACAGGGGACGCGGGGACGACAGTTGAACTCGCCAAACTTCTCATCGACCTGCTCTTGATTACTGGGGAACGGGGTGACAGGGGGGACAACTGTATTCACAGTATGGATGAAGATTTAAATCCTGAAGAGAACACAATATTTGTAGGAACGGTAAGAACGGAACGTTTGAAAAGAGCGTAGAATGGAGCGTTAAGATGTGAGTGAGAGAAAACGGTAAGAAAGGGAAATGAGAATGACAGAGAATAGGAAGATGGCGATGACGGTTAAAAAATGAGCAAAGCGTTAATAGCGCTAATTAATTATTAATTATTATTATAACAAAATATTTTGGAACAGTGCTACTTTTATTTTATGCGCTGCATTCCCTATTCTAGAATTCTATATTTGAATTTCTCTGTGCGTTTTTAAAGCATTGATAACAGCGCCATCTAGCGATACATTTGCCGCACGAGGCATTAAAACAACCCATTGACAATAGATGGCGCTGCTTGTTATGAGATAACTCATATAAATATTTTTAATTAATTTTCATTTAGTATTAAATTAACAAAATATCCTAAATAGTGTGTTCTAGATTTCAGTCAACACTATTTTTTTTTAATTTTATTTAATTAATCAGCCAATAGCTTATCTTCTGTCTCTATTTTTATTTCTGAGCGGTCGGTTCTTTTGATTATTTATTTGTTTACATTAAATAGAATTACGGAACTATTAGTATTTAATTTTATTTCTTTTTTTTTTATTGTTTAGATGGGTGCACGAGCTCACAGCCCACCTGGTGTTAAGTGATTACTGGAGCCCATAGATATCTACAACGTAAATGCGCCACCCACTATGAGATATAAGTTCTAAGGTCTCAGTATAGTTACAACGGCTGCCCCACCCTTCGAACCGAAACGCATTACTGCTTCACGGCGGAAATAGGCAGGGTGGTGGTACCTACCCGTGCGGACTCCCAAGAGGTCCTACCACCAGTGATTACGCAAATTATAATTTTGCGGGTTTGATTTTTATTACACGATGTTATTCCTTCACCGTGGAAGTCAATCGTGAACATTTGTTGAGTACGTATTTCATTAGAAAAATTGGTACCCGCCTGCGGGATTCGAACACCGTCGCATCGCTTCAACACGAATGCACCGGACGTCTTATCCTTTAGGCCACGACGACTTCATTTGCAAGTACATTCAATTATTGATACGTTAAATGATTTTTATAAAATTTTGTTGAGGTATTTTTAAAGAATCAATTATTAACACTGCTTATTGTGTTGCTTAACTCTTTTAGTGCTGAGCTTATTTTGCATAAACTGCTAAAATATTTTTGAAAAAACTACTTAATGTAAAAATTCTGGCATTGCTCTGACGTCCGCACAGATCATAGAAACACAGTCTATGATCTGTGGACGTCCGTGAGCGACGATAACCGCTTACCATCAGATGGGCCGAATGCTCTTCTGCTTACATAGGCAATAAAATAAAGTGCTTATTTATAAATGAAGATATGAGTGGATGAAGGGCTATGATACCATTTTAATTTTGAGAAAACGGGCAACGGGCAATACCAATAATCTAACTGCCCAATTATTATCGGTATTCCGACACTCCACATTTTTTACGCATTAATACAGAGTCGATATATCGACAACTAGCGATCAAAGGGTTAAACTCGAGATAAAACCGCAGTACTAGTTTTAATTATGTCGCGAAAATCTAACGCAACACTGTATTTTTAAAAGGTTTTAAAACTGAAATGGAGTTTTCAACGTTATACAACGTATTACAAAATACCCCAATAAAAATATAATTAATTATCACAGCCTAAAATTTTGTCAACCTTAGTAAGCTGTCATGTCAAGGAACCAGATTATTTAACAGAAAGGCACGTACGTACCTATTTTACCTAATAATTAATTACTTTAATAGTTTTTCTATTTTTCATTAATAAATGTTAGCTACCTGCCACATCCGGGTGATGGAAGGCCGGCTATCCTCAACCCACGCTGGTTCTGACCCAGCGGGGTATTCCGTAGGATAGACCATTCTAACCGGCGCCATCTAGGCGGGCTTCGGATGGCCTGCCGACCGAGGGGGCTGGTGGTCGTGGCGCCGACGACCGCCGGTCCGGCGTCCCGAGGAGGAGAGTGATGGAAGAGATGTGCTCCGCACTAAACGCTTCACTTTCCCCCCTTTGCCTTTTGATGAGCTTTGTCTCATGCGAGGTTTGAGTGCTGCCTGTTGAGCGACAGTAGGTAGTCGGTTCGACTCCGACATGCCTCGCCCTCCATCCCCAGTGAAGGGCGGAAGTCCGGCGATTTCCTTCTGACAAAAAAAAAGCTACCTGCCAAGGATGTCATTAATCATTATACTCAAGTACTGACTTAAAAAAATGTCAAGCTTGGAAAAAGAAAGTTTTCAAATTCAAATCTTCTAATCGATATCCTACAACGATATCCTACGGGGGACCGGTGCTATGGCCTGCTAGTTCTTCGGACCTTACACCCTTGGACTTTTTTGTGGGGTTATGTGAAGGACAGAGTGTATTTCTCCGATTGCACAACGGTTGCCAAGATGGAATAGCGTGTTATTTTTTTTTATTGCTTAGATGGGTGGACTAGTTCACAGCCCACCTGGTGTTAACTGGAGCCCATAGACAATATAAATGCGCCACCCACCTTGAGATATTAGATCCGTTTTCGACCGACGATGGTGCGAAATGCCACACAAGCCATATCTCAACGAGCGAGGTTGTGTATTGAGCAAGGCGGAGCACACTTTCAGCCGTGTCTGTAAATTTGACGTTTATTATGAAAGAGTAAGTGCTCATTTAGGTTGTTTCCTCAGGTTAGGTCTTTTAAAATTTTTGTCGTTCCGCGAATTAGGTAGAAATGTATGTATGTACATTCTGCGTAGTTTACTCTTTAATTTTAGTGAAATAGGGTTTGCACATCAGTGAAAATAATAATATTTTTTTTATTTTTTTGGGGCATGTTATACAGGGTTACTACGGTTCTTAAATATTGTGAATGGACTCGTTATAAGGCTACATTTACCCTCCTTTCGGCTTTACGGGTAGTTTTGTAACACCATATATTTGCGTTGTTCAAAACTTGCTATCATCGGTGACTCTCAGGTTAGAAACTGTTATTATCCCCTTTTTATTGTTAGTGTTATATTTTTCTAGACTACTGAGTTTCTCGCTCTTACCTAGGGCTAGTGCTCTCTCAGGTTGAGCCCGTGAGCTCACCTACCAGTCCGGGCGTAGCTGGAATAGCTCCTGAAACTACCAGCGGATAGGTAGAAGAAAAAATATTCTTCTTTTTAAATATCAAGTTCAAAATTCTGTAAAACTGAAAACGCACGTTTTTTACATAAATAAAATATTGCTTTGAACAAAACGTAAAACACTAAATGCTGCTGTTGTCTTTACACTCATCTTCACGTCAAGTGACGAGTGCTACCCAGGTCACAGGCCCGGAACCCCGCGCGAGCTTTACCCATGGTTTTGTGACACCCATCGACATAGACAATGCCATAGTCACACACCAGTCGGTAGCGAAAAATTATCCAACTAAAAACATTCGCTTACGTAGGGAACGTAAGATAGCATTAAGTAAATTGAACATTCGTTTTTATGTAAAAAAAAAAAACATCACCCCCTGCATATATAAAAGTTGCGATCGAAAAAGGGGTAGCAAACGCTTTCCGGCCAGTTAGTTTTGATGTCCTTCAATCAGGAGTCGACGGCTTTAGTGTCTCCGTTTGGTCTCTCCCGCCGGTCGGGGTAAAAAAGTTTTGTACGGGGTTAAGGTTGATTGGTTTGCACGGAGCCACCAAATAAAGCTGTTTCAATTGGACACGCAAAGTTTATCGAATTGCGTAATTTCTGAAGGTGGTAAAACGGCATGTGAGTCTGCAAGGGGAGGTACTACCGCCCTGCCTATTTTTGGCGTGAAGCAGTAATGCGTTTCGGTTTGAAGGGCGGCGCAGCCGTTGTAACTATACTGAGACCTTAGAACTTATATCTCACAGTAGGTGGCGGCGTTTACGTTGTAGATGTCTATGGGCTCTGGCAACCACTTAAAATCAGGTGGGCCGTGAGCTCGTCCACACACCTAGAATAAATAAAAAGTATACATAGTTACAACGGCTACCCTACCCTTCAAACCGTAATGCATTACTGCTTCACGGCAGAAATAGGCAGGGTGGTGGTACCCACCCGTGCGGACTCACAAGACGTCCTACCACCACCTGCCACTATTTACTATGCACTGCCATTGCTTGATTAGTAGAGAATGCCTTAGGGGTGAAATCGGCCAATGTAAATACATACATGAAGAGTAATAAGTAAATAAGTAGGTACATTTAGTGTCATCGTCCCGTATTAAAAGTGGGTCAGTCGTTTTGCAATGTAATTGAGACGCGGACCTCATGCCTCAAAATGGCGCTGGCAGCGAATTAAAGTCTATGTCCTCTCGTGTCCGTGAAGTACTGAGGTCGACCACACACCGACTGCAAAAAAAGAGGGAAACCTTTTATTTATTTATTCTAATTAAAGTTAATTTTGAGTGAATGGGGCACATAACGTATCTTACTCTTTTTTAGGTAAGAATCTCTTCAACGGTAAAGGAAATATTAATGAGACGAACGTTCGAAATTCTATTAATATTCCTAAAATTAAAATACATTAAAAAATCGGGTTATTTAAATATTTTACGATAAGATCACAGACGAAATTTTATTTATGTTAAATAAAAATCTAATCTAGATCTAACTCATCGCAATAAAAATAAACAATTATAATCTTCTTTGAATATAAATTAAAAATAAATTAATTAGTAGAAAACTATTGAACTCCGAATATCGTATAAATAATTAAATAGCAGCTTGAGAAGTGTGGGTGAGCTATAAATGAATTGTAACTAGAGGTCCCGCAGTAGTCGAAATTCGACTATAATTAATTGGAATTGTAAGTTGTA